AGGTATTAGTTATAGACATTGATATAATATATATAGATATTATGTTATAATTTTATATACTACTCTATTCAAGCAAGATACATCTAAAATCGAAAAAATAAGGCACTAGAGGAATGCGAAACACCTTATCTGAGTTTAAGAATACTATTAAAAAGAATTTACTTTTCGTGGGTTCAATACCTAATGGTAATCGCCGTTTAAAGAAGAATTAAGGAATTAAAATAAGAATAATAGCAACATGAAAATGCCAAAGAAAATGCAACAAGAAATATGAGATACTGGAATAGACAAATTAAAGTACTATCTCCATGTCTAAAATCTTCACCTTCAATAATTATTTGAAGGGCAGAATATAAAAAATATAAATAAGGTTAAGTAAAGAATTATACTAGGAGCCAAAAGAAAGTCATGTTTTAGTAGTAAAAATTAATGGATCGCCTGCAGTAATTAATATTTTCAGTATCTGCCAATACACATGCATCTTCATTGAAGCATGTGTCTTCACAAAAGTTTAAATGTCCGATTGCAGACTTTCGTCCTTCACCCATTTAAAACTCTTAGCTTTTCAAATAAAGAATCTAAAATTCAGAATCCAACTTTAATGGTTTCCATTATTATGGTTTGGTGGAGAGAACAGAAAAGTGATTCGGAGGAATTGAAAGGCTACAGTGATACAACTTTATCAATTGTATCAATACAACTTAATTATCATTTACTCTGTTCATTATAGTTATCTTCCAGCAACGTCTTTTCTATTACCTGATTGATTGTAGTATAAATTTACTGATCATTTATTAGAAAAGAAATTTACTTTTTTGTTACAAAAATATTATAGAAGTAGGATTTAAAAGAAGGGTGAAATAGTTGTTTAATTTGTTTATGAGCATTTTAGGAATCTAACTTTAATTTTAGAAGCTTCCTACTCTAGTATAATTTATATATATATATATATATATATATATAATTCAAGGCCATGAGCACGGTGACGTGGCACCTCTCACTAACCAGGTGTCATGATCCAAAATCTCACCACATGCGTCGTGATTACACTTAGTCTCTAAGACTAGGTAAGCCGATTACAATTACATTTCGAACCATTTTTTATTTTTATTTTTTATAGATAATCGAAACCAACAGCGGAAACAAATATAACAACCTCTCAAGACTGGTAATACTGAATCACGAACTCTAACTGAATACATGAAATGATCTCAAGGATCGAATATGTAATACGGTTCGAATAATAATTAACAGTACAATAAAATGGGAAGACTCCAAGGGACTGCGACGACCAAGCAGCTCTACCTTGAATCCTTGCGATCAACACACTAACTCTGCCCGAGTCCGATATCTCCAATACCTGGCTCTGTACAAAAATATGCAGAAGTGTAGTATTAGTACACCGCAGTCGGTACCCAGTAAGTATCAAGACTAACTTCGGTGGAGTAATGACGATGTACAGTCAAGACACTCACTAGTCAAATAACCTGGGCAATATAGCAGCATACAATAGTACTGAAAAATAACTAGCAGTGATAGCAACAAAAATCAACCAGTCATATAAACAGCAAGGCTACAAGAACATCATAATTATTATTCAAACGAATAAGGAACACAAGTACAACCAATTAAACAAATCCTTCAAATATAAATCTTTCACATATAATTCTATCGAATAAATACATTCCGAATATATTTCTTTCGAATATAAAATTCTTTCAAATAAATATCTTTCGAATATACTTCTTTCAAATAAATGTTTTTCGAATATAAATTCTTTCAAATAAAAGTCACTCTGTGACACCTTATTTTATAATCATAAAATACGGGTCTGAGCCCACTTTTATATTTTTCGTAATACGGGTCCCAACCCACTTTCATGTTTCTACGGCACCTCGTGCCCATATTTCTATCAAAACCGCACGGACAACTCACATGCCAATAATAAAAATCATCATATTTATCCTGGCACCTCGTGCCCACATTGCATATATGTTGCGACGTGCAACCCGATCCCATATAACATTAATCATACCTGTTGCGGCGTGCAACCCGATCCTATATAACATAATTTGCCCGGCAATAGCCACAGGCTCACGATTTTAACATAGATCAGACTATTATCAAGTTTACCGAAACAACAAGACAAGTTGCACAAGATTTAAGAATAAACACAAGGAAAATCACAATATCACATGAAAATTACCAATGCAATAACCCCACATCATCAAATAAAAATTACCAACACAATAACCCTACATCATCACTTATCATCCCTGACAATAGCCACCTATATCTCTCATATAGCCACCCTTATCACTCCTATAATAGCCTCACTTATCCCTCCGCCCTGACAATATCAGTAGCCACTCTTATCGCTCTTATAGCCACCCTTATCGCTCCTATAGCCACCCTTATCGCTTCGTTTAATAGACACCATTATCACTCAACTCAGACAATATCCCAACACATATAACCACAGTAAAATGCCACCCTTATACCCACACAATATTAACAGTGCAATGCCACCCTTATGTCCTCATAATAATAACTCAAATCACACAACAATTCACACGGAATATTATAACGACAACAAAACACAATAAATTCATATCACGAATTCCCCAATGGTAACAACAAATTTCAAAGATATAACAAAATCAATAAATTTCACAACAAATAGCCCAAGGCTCCACACAACGTATATAACACCTCAAAAACAACAACAGAGATGGAAAAGTAACTCAACATAGGACAACACCTTCTTAAATCTAAATTTTGATAAATATATTAACGCCTCAATTTAAACTTATTTAATAATTATTTGCAGATGGAAAATCCATAATGAAATTAATTCCAAGAAATATCAAATCAACAAACACACGGAATTTACATAAAAATCCAAGTGGCGATCACCCTAAATTATCATATAAAATACAAACTCGATAAACAAGGAATGAGGCATGGCAAATCAAGGATTTACTAAGTTCCAAAAATTTCCAATTTAATATATAAGGGTGTCTACGAATTTTAACCGATATAATTTACACATATAAATCAAGTAAGTACTTGTCACCTTGCGTATACGGCCTTCAATCATATAATTTTCACATAAGACTCAATGCCTAAGGGGTGATTCCCCCACTCAAGGTTAGGCAAGATACTTACCTTTTTGAAGTTATGCCGATATTTTAAAATAACCTTCTTGCTTGAATTGACCTCCGGACAGCTCAAATTTATCCAAATTAATTTACAACTTCTTCAAAATTCATCGAAAATAATTCCGGATAATAAAATATCAACTTAAAATTTTATTATAAAAAATCAACACGGGGCTCGCCTCTCGGAACCGAAAGAATTTTTACGAAATCTGAGCACCCATTCCGATACGAGTTCAACCATACCAATTTTATCAAATTCCGATAAAGAATCGACCTCCAAATCTTCAATTTCAGGTATAGAAAATTTCTACTATTTTCAACCCAATTCACTAATTTCATGGTAAAAACAATAATAGATTTATGTATTTTAACCAAAATCGAGTTAGAAAATCTTACCCCAATGTTTTCCTCGAAAAACCCTCGAACAATCGCCTCACCCGAGATTTCTTCGTCCAAAAATGGAAGAATGAGACGAAGTCTCATTTTTTAACTTTATTCTACTGCCTAGGGGTTTGTTCTTCGCGTTCGCGACCTTACCCTCGCGTTCGCGATGAACAAATTCTTCCACAACTATTTCCAAACTCTTCTTAGACAGCCTCTAGTATAATGGTCATAACTTTCTATACACACCTTCAAATGATAAATGGTTTAACTTTTTGAAAACCAGACATCAAGAACTATAACTTTCATGTTTTTCTCATCTCCCAATTCCTTATAAATTTTAATATATAAGCTTCCACAGTTAGCCTAGTGCAGCAGAAATTTCTTCTTCGCTAAACTCTTCCCGAACAACCTGTAGTATATCTACAATGACTCTTTGTACACAACTCCAATGGCAAAAAGTTTGCATTTATGAAAACTAAACATAAAGAGCTACAACTTTTATTTTTGAATCATCTCCAAATTCCTTATAGATTGCAATATATAAGCTTCCGAAGTCGGGTGGCGGACAACAGAAATTCCTTCTTCGCGAACGCGAAGAACAAAATCCCAGAAGCCAAATCCTACTTCGCGAACATGAAGTACAACACTAGACATCAGAAAACCAGCATCCAAAGTTGATCAAAATGATCCGATAACACCCGAAACACACCCGAGGCCCTCGGGACCTTAACCAAATATGGCAACAATTCCTAAAATACGATACGAACTTAGTCGAGACCTTAAATCATATCAAATAACAACGAAACTACGAATCGCATCTTCAATCAAACTTATGAGTTTATGAAATTTCTAAATTCTATAACTTGCGCCAAAACATATCAAATCAATCCGGAATAACTTTAAATTTTGCACACAAGTCAAAAATGATATAATGGAGTTGCTCCAATTTCCGGAATCAAATTTCGAACCCGATATCAATAAAGTCAATTCCCGATCAAACTTTCTAAAAATCTTCCATTTTCCAACTTTCGCCAAAATGCGCCGAATTGTCCTACAGACTTCCAAATCCAAATATGGACATAAGCCTAAGTCCGAAATCACCATACGAAGTTATTGACACCGTCAAAATCCAATTCCAGAGTCGTTTGCTCAAAATTCAAACTTCGGTTAACTTTTTTCATTTAAACTTCAAAATAAGAATTATTCTTCTAATTAAATTCTGAATCTTCTGAAAACCAAACTCGACCACACTCACGGGTCACAATACATATTACAAAATTGCTTGGGACCTTAAGTCACTGAATGTGACGTAAATTCTCAAAACGACAAGTCGGGTCGTCACACCAGGGATTCCCTTTAAATTTGTTTCTCCTTTTTACAGATTTTCCCTATTTTTTTGACCCCAAAAACTCATCATTTAAAAATCGTGGCATAACTTATTGAAGAGGCATCGCTTCAGTGCCATCCGATAAAAACACTAATTGAAATATCCCAACAAAACCATAATCACCGGTGATAGTATTCTCTACTTCTTTCTTAGAAGAAAATTATTTCAGGGGAAGTGTTCATTTATTTGTTTGCAATTCTACCTTGAAACTTCATAAAAATAATGCAATTGTGTTGATTATGGGACGTTTTCCTCTACTACCGGAAAAAGTTCAACAACTTATCAATGGGAAATCTTAAGTCAAGTCTGATTGCCTCTAGTAATGGTTTTTGGACATCCGACAAAGATGCAATTGCAATGGTCTATTTTTTGGGGGGGATTTTCCCTCTTAAGTTCATACTTCATAGGCGATTATTATCTATTTTATACAAGGTACTGAATTTTATTATGCCTATTCTGTATTTAGCAGTGTCTTTGGTTATTTTTTAACTTATTCTGCCATGCATATATTTTCTTAAAATATTTGGTGTCAATTCTGAATCATTAGGTGTAATGGTGTTGATTTTCACTTAGGCTATGGATCAATTATTATTTAATTTTATTTTATAATCCCCTTTGTAACTTCTGTTAACTGAATTTGTTACGATATTGTATCAATTCCATTACAAAGATGGGTATATTTTTCTCAGCATAAACCTTTATCTGGAGCAACAACTTCCTAATCATCTGATAATCTAAATTCTGTATTTAATGTCTTTTTTTATCAAGAGGCTATTCTTGTGTTTGAGTTAAAAAATATTTACGCTGACTAAATGCTTGGAAATCAAAAGGAGGAGATAAAGGACCTTTCTTCTAACCTCAGTGAAAGAAAATATAGAAATTTATGATTTTCTATAGTTGGTACTCATTCACTTCTCTTGTTTGTGATCTTATCATCAATTTATTCTTTTAGATGTAGTATAAGCTTGACGATAGGTGGAAAAGTGAATAAAAAATTAAAAGATGAATTACAGTTGATAAGATTTGTGTCGTAAATAAGGTTTGCTTTGTTATTACTATTATAGGAGATTTTACCCAAAATATAGTCCTGTTAATTGGCTTTCAATGCTGAATGTTGAATTGAATGTTTGTTCTAGCATATTTAACTTACTTGAGGTATTGGTAGCTAATGGTATATTCTATATCATAAATCCTTTCCCGCTGTACATTTTTGGCACCAACTTGGTATGTAGAAATAAAATTTACCTTTCATCAAAAAAGAAAAAGACAGGCACACAGTAATATCCTTATAGATGACAAGATTACAGAATTATGGTGATGACCTTGCATAACCTGTAGTTTAGAATGTGTTATATATTAAATAATGCACATACAATTCACCTTAGCCATGGAAGTGTGGATTACTAACATATTTTTATAGATTCTTACATGCTTTCGTCTGTGAGAACTGGCAAACTTGTAGAGAAGTAAAGAGTTATCTAACTTTTGATGGTTTATCGGTATATGCTTTAACGACTTATGTGCTAACATTAAATGAATGTATGTCTGTATTGTTTATCATTCCATAAAAAGGAGAGTTTTAGCTTCACCTGGCCATGGCTAAAGTAGGTGGCCGATCGCATCTGATCCAAAGTTCTACATATTGAAGGATATTTTGGATCTACATATTGAAGGATATTCTGCAATGCCATTTCAATTCTTAAAGGTGAGAGTATTATAAACCTTTTGCTCAGTAATTTTTAGTGTTCCAAATTTTGTCTGAATGTCAGCTGTCTGTTTATTCTTTCACTCTTTGTCTTTTCTGTTATGGCCTATTTTATTTCAAAACTCAATAGCTTTTATAGTTTCAGGTGGAACATTGAGATACCTGCAACTGCACTTATAACCAAATCAATATTATTTTTTTCTGTTGGTGTTTTAGGAATAGAAATGTTTAGTCTTTAAATGTTTATCATGGATAACATATAGGTCGTACTAAGAACTAGCGCTTTGCACTTTCTATAAAATATATATTGGTTGTTTGTAATTGATTTTATTCACAAAGTGCAGGTTTATTTCATAGCATTGCGACCTACAATCGTACGTTGCCTATGAAAAAAAAAACTACTAACTTTTGCAGTCATCAAATCACGTATCAATATTCTCCTCCAACTCGAGGACTTCCTCAAAATTCAATATTTTTATACACTACAAATAACTCTGTGGTATTAATAACCAAAAATAATGCAATTGTGCTGATTATGGGACGTTTTTCACTACTACGGGCAAAATTCAACAACTTATCAATGGGAAATCTTAAGTCAAGTTTGATTGCCTCTAGCAATGGTTTTTGGACATCCGACAAAGATGCAATTACAATGGTCTATTGATTTGGGGAATTTTCCCTCTTCAGTTCATATTTCATAGGCAAATATTATCTATTTTCTACAAGGTACTGAATTTTATTATGCCTATTCTATATTTAGCACTGTCTTTGGTTATTTTTTAACTTATTTTGCACATGCCTATATTTGTTTTAAAATATTTGGTGTCAATTTTGAATCATTAGGTGTAACGATTTTGCTTTTAACTTAGGCTATGGATCAATTATTGTTGATTTTATTTTTTAATCCCCTTTGCGTCTTTTGTTAACTGAATTTATTACGATATTGTGTCAATTCCGTTACAGAGATGGGCATATTTTTCTCTGCATTAACCTTTATCTGGAGTAACAACTTCCTAATCATCTGATAATCTAAACTCTGTGTTTAATATCTTTTTTATCAAGAGGCTATTCGTGTGTTTGAGTTAAAAAATATTTACGCTGACTAAATATCTGAAAATCAAAAGGAGAAGATAAATGACCTTCCTTCTAACCTCTGTGAAAGAAAATATACTAATTTATGTTTTTCTATAGTTGGTACTCATTCACCTCTCTTGTTTGTGATCTTATCATCAATTTATTCTTTTAGTTGCAGTATAAGCTTGACGATAGGTGGAAAAGTGAATAAAAATCTAAAAGAAGAATTACAATTGATAAGATTTGTGTCGTAAATAAGCTTTGCTTTGTTAATTCTATTATAGAAGATTTTACCTAGAATATAGTTGTGTTAATTGACTTTCAATGCTGAATGTTGAATTGAATGTTTGTTCTGGCGTATTTAACTTACTTGAGGTATTGGTAGCTGATGGTATATTCTATATTATAAATCCTTTCCCGTTGTACATATTTGGCACCAACTTGGTATGTAGAAATGAAGTTTACCTTTCATCACAAAAGAAAAAGACAGACACACATTAATGTCTTCAAAGATGACAAGATTACAAAATTATGGTAATGAAATTGCATAACCTGTAGTTTAGGATGTGTTCTATAGTAAATAATGCACATGCAATTCACCTTAGCCATGCAAGTGTGGATTAATAACATATTTTTATAGATCCTTACATGCTTTCGTCTGTCAGGACTAGCTAGCTTGCGGAGAAGTAAAGAGTTATCTAACTTTTGATGGGTTATCGATGTATGCTTTAACGACTTATGTGCTAACATAAAATGAATGTATATCTGTTTAGTTTATCATTCCCTAAAAAAAGGAGTTTTAGTTTCACTTGGCCATGGCTAAAGTAGGTGGCCGATCGCATCTAATCCAAAGTTCTACATATCGAAGGATATTCTGTGATGCTATTTCAATTCTTAAAGGTGAGAGCGTTAGAAACCATTTGCTTTGTAATTTTTAGTATTCCAAATTTTGTCTGAATGTCAGCTCTTTGTTTATTCTTTTACTCTTTGTCTTTTCTATTCTGCACATGCCTATATTTTTTTAAATATTCAGTGTCAATTCTGAATTATTAGATGTAATGGTGTCTTTTTTCACTTGGGCTACGAAATCAATTATTGTTTGATTTTATTTTTTAATATCCTTTGCGTCTTATATTAACTGAATTTGTTACGATATTGTGTCAATTCTGTTACTGTAACTACCTGGTCAGTCGTTTCGAGAGTTGTAGCCTTGTTTCCCCATTTACTGATCATTTTATGTTTTATAGTTGTTATGTGACTTACTGGGGTAGTTGGTTCAAAACCAGAGAGGTTTCAGAATGAATTGAGACACTTAGTCTCAAAGATAAAAGCTTAAGTTGAAAAGGTTAACCGGATGTAGACTTATGTGTAGACGACTCCGAAATAGATTTTGATGGTTTCGTTAGCCCCGTTGGGTGATTTTGGTCTTAGGAACATGTCCGAATTGTGATTTGGGGGTTCGTAATGGAATTAGGGTTGAAATGGCGAAAGTTGGAAAATTAGAAGTTTGATCTAGAGTGGACTTTGTGGATACCGGGCTCGAATTGGGGTTCTGGGAGTTGGAGTATGTAACGACACGACCAGTCGTTTTACTTTCTAGATCTTCGTTCCCCTAAATAAGACTCCCTGTATTTGCTTTTACTATTTTATTGCTAGCGGGATGATTAGTTCGGGATTTGGAAGGGTTTTAAATTTTATTGCTAGTAGGTTTTGATGCTATCGAGGTCCGTTTGGGATTACAAGCCTGGGAATAGTTCCGTATGGTGATTTAAGACTTGCACGTAAATTTTGAAGTCATTCCGAGTAGTTTAAGTATGTTTCGGTGCGTTCAGAGTAAGTTGGAAGAATTTGAAGATCATAAGTTGATTCTATTGGTTTTGGGTTGAGATTCTTAGTTTTGATGTTGTTTTCCGCATTCCGAGGGTGCGACCGAGTCCGTTATATAATTTCAAACTTGTTGGCATGTTTGGACAGGGCCTCCCTGGATGCCATTCGGACGATGCGCGGTGGTTGTTTAGTCATGGGTGAACATCAGAAGCACCCAACTTCTGGTGTAATCGCACGGCCAGCCGGAGGTGCGAGCTCGCAGAAGCGAGCCAGCAGCCCCAGAAGCGGCCCAACATGGGCAGCTCAGAAACCGCATATGCGGACAAGGCGACCGCAGAAGCGGGGACTTACGCAGGTGTGGCTCATCTGCCGTAGGAGAGGCATCGCAGAAGTGATCCCTCAATCCGCAAATGCGGACTTAGGCCAGCCAAGAGAGGACCGCATCTGCGATTAACCTTCCGCAGATGCGGAGCCGCATATGCGAAAGTCCTGGTTGCAGAATGGTCCATTTAATGCGGGACTTAGGCTATTTTGACTCATTTTCTTTCAATCTCTTGGGCGATTTTGGAGCTCTTGGAGATAGGTTTTCACCTATCTTGAGGTAAGTAATTTCTATACAATGTGAGTTAAATACATAGATTATGGGTAGATTTTAACATGTAAAATTATGAAAATCATGGGTTTAGATGAAAAACCTATGTTTTGATAAAAATGGGATTTAACCACGAAAATGGTTATGGAATTGAGTGTTCATGAGGGTATGGGTAACAACTTTCTTCGACAATTTTCGGAGTCCGGGCACGTGGGCCCGGGGGTAAATTTTAGGAATCCTTTAATTGGGGTTGGGTAATCACTCTAATAGTTGGAATATAAACTTTTGAACATGTACTGATTAATTTATATAATATTTGACTAGTTTTGGATTGTTCGGCACCAAGTTGAGGCCTTAGAACGAAATTGTGACCGGAAAGTGAGCCTTGAGACGAGGTAAGTCTCTTGTCTAACCTTGTAAGAGGGAACTTTCCCCATAGGTGATTTAAATTAATATTTGCTTCTAATTGTGGGGGCTACGTACGCACGATGTGACAAGAGTCCGTGCGTAGCTACAATTTGTGCTTATGTCCGGGTAGTTTAGGACCCAAATCATAAATTATTTGTAATGTTTGTAACCTACTTGTTAATTTAAGTGCATAATTATATTAGAACTTGTTCGAGGAATTGCAAAAGATAGAATTTCACTTACTTGATTTTTTAGCGGATTACTTGATCGTTAATGGAAATTTTATTATATTGTGTATTAGCCTTGTTATAACGTTTAAGTCAAATGCTTATAAAGTATCCTCTCTTCTTGTGGAGCGAGCCGAATGCCTCGGCAGTAGATAGATGCATCTATGGATCGTGTCGTACGTCCCTCAGCAGTGTACACATTATTCTGGATCAAGCCATATGACCTCGGCATAAATCATGCTTAATAATTCTCGGAGCCTAATCATACTTGATATTATTTTGTGGTTTATGAGGGTACTCTTATTAATGACGGGAATTTATGTGGGATTTATTAAATTGTGAAATAATTATTTGCTCCTGCTTGTTAATGAGTTATTATAATTATTTTCATGACTCATGCTTATTTAGAATTTCTGTATTCATATTGTTAGCCCTTAGTAAGTGTCGAAGTCGATCCCTCGTCACTAATTCTTCGAGGTTAGACTAGATACTTACTGGGTATATATTATTTATGTACTCACGCTATACTTCTGCACTAATCGTGAAGGATCTGAGGCACGTGCATCTGGCGGTCCTACCGGCACGCATCCTAGATATTCTGAGGCCTAGTGGTGAGCTGTTTCCTGAGCCGTTCTGCAGCACCTAGAATCTCTCCTTTGCATTTATTTCTGTCTATTTTTATTTCAGACAATATCTAGAGTTTTGTATAATTTATTAGTGCTCATATATTTGTGACACCGGGTCTTGGCACACACACTAGCAGTCATATGGTTTTGGATTATTCTATTGTTATGATTGCACTCAACTGCTTTCGTCTATTTATTTAAATTTGTTGTTTCTTAACCTTTTAATTAATGGAATTTAATTACTTGAGAACTTATTAAAAGAGAAATAACATGGTTTAATTCACTGTTGGCTTGCCTAGCGGTAACGTTGGGTGACATCACGACCTATAGGACAATTGGGTCACGACAGAGTAGGCCCATGGTGTCATATATGACTTGTGTGTAAATTTTGAGGTCAATTGAACGTGATTTGATAGGTTTCGACATCATTTGTAGAAGTTGGAATTCTTTAGTTTTCCTTAGGCTTGAATTGGGGTGTAATTTATGTTTTTGATATTGTTTGATGTGATTTGAGGGCTCGACTAAGTTCGTATCGTGTTTTAGGACTTGTTGGTGTGTTTGATTGAGGTCCTGGGGGCCTTGAGTTGATTTCGGATGGTTAGCAGATAGAAATTGAGATTTAATGCATTGCTGGACTGGGAGCCTTCTGGTGTGATCACACTTGCGAGGGTCTTGGCCGCAGGTGCGACTGGAGTGGCGTAGAAGCGAGGTTGGTCTGGCTTTGGGTGTATCGTAGGTGTGGAAGGAGGAGCGTGATGACGTCGAAATCCACTACGAAAAAATAAATGGATACAGTCGCATGCAATATAATTTATCCAACTATGAGTCGGGGTCAAATCCCACAGAGAATAATATGTAAGCGATTAGGCGTGTATGATAATTATCACTTGTTATGCTAAACCAAACACAAAAAGGGTTTTGAGAAAATATTTATGTCTAAATGCAAAAAATATAAACTAACCTAGAAAGCAAGTAAAATGATCAATGGCTACAAGCATGGATACATGGGGAATTACACTCAAGTAACGATCTAATGTATTTTACGATTTTACAAATATGAGCGAGTTTATGTTAATTAGCCTCGGGTAATAATTCTATATTAGCTTCTTCCAAAAACTAACAAGACTTCCTAATTGAATTATCCCTAAAATAATTAAGAGATTAAGCACACCCGATACGGCTACAAGTAGTTCAATCCTATCTCTAGGTAGAATCTATAAAATGAGGGTTAACGCCCCCAAATTCTTGTTAATTAATCTTTTTCAACCCCAAATTATCTTTTTCAAAATTAATTCGAAGTAAATGGGCGAGTCCTAGGGTTAGCTAATCCCTTTGGAAACATTAAAGAACAAGAATAACTAAATAAACAATAACTCACTTCATAATAAATAAAAATTATTCAATACATAAGCACAACAAGATATTTAATACACACTTTAAATACGAATATTCCCATAAACAAGATTCAAGTGTTGAAAAAAATACTACACACTTAGATATACAATACAAAGCAAGGAAATGAAGAAATGAACATAAATGGGTAAGAAATTCTCAATCAAAAGCTTCAAATCTTCAAGACCCAAGTGTGAGTGCAAGAACCCCAACTCTAAAACTTATGTTCTCTAGTCAAGAGACTGAAAATAATCCAAAGGATGTGTTTTCCCTAAGCTAGGTCATGTATTTGTGGGTTTGGAATGAGAAAAATGTGAATTATTAAGACTGCCCAGGTGTGAAAACCTGTTGATCTCACTTGCAGAAGAATCCTCGCAGGTGCAGTTCCGCAGATGCGGATACCTGTTCGTAGAAGCGATTTTTGTGGATAATTGCCTACTCCGCAGAAGCGGATACCTGTTTGCAGAAGCGATTTTTGTGGAGAATTGCCTACTTCGCAGAAGCGAACATGTCACTGCAGAAGCGGCTTCGCAAATGTGGACCTCAATCGCAGAAGCGAATTCGTGGTCGCAGGTGTGCTTCCAGTGAGATTTCTTCTATTCCGCAGATGCGACCCTTTTTTCGTAGATGCGGGCCCGCAAAAGCGGGCACCATTCCGCAGATGTGATTTCACTAAAGGCATTTTGCACTTCTTTCCCTATTTGTTTGCACGATTCCACTTCATTTAATTTCAATTCTCTTCGAGACTTCATTTACTTGAAAATCTAGCAATGCACACCATAAATCACCTTATTTTATAATTAAAGGACACAAAAACTAAAGAAAAGAGACTAGAATAAATGGTAAAATCATCACTCATCAGAGCGTACCTATGAGTCTGCAGAAGCAGGATTGTGGTTGCAGGTGCGGAATTTTCTTGGCTCTGGGCGCGCAGAAGCGGACGTGGGGCTGTAGGTGCGGTCTCGCAGGTGCGAGACCTTGTCCGCATAAGTGGTAGGTCAGGGGTCAAGTGTAAGACCTCATGTGCGGATCCCTGACCGCAAAAGCAGTGCCACAGACGCGGGTTAAATGAACCGCATGTGAGATTGGAGAGAATGGGAGGACTGAGTGACTGTTACTCTGAGTATATGCACTTGATTTCATTACTGTCATACTTCGACTGGCATATATCACTGTCATGAAATTCCTGAGAGATACTATATCCTGTTTCAATTGAACTTGGCATGAATTATATGTTTAAACTTTAAGTATCGAACTTGCAAGCATGTCTATTTTTCTGTATTATATTTTCTGAAATTGAACTGTATCTGTGAAGCTCGTCACTACTTTCAATCCAATAGTTAGTATTGTTACTTACTGAGTTGGTTGTACTCACGCTACACCCTACACTTCGTGTGTAGATTCAGGTGTTTCCGGACACGGTGTGTGTTGATTATCTAAGCAGCTCTACCATTTCAGAGAATTCAAAGTAGTTGCCTGGTGTTCGCATACTTTGACTCTCCCCCTTCTTTCAACTTTATGTATTTGTTTTAGTTTTTCATAGATAGTATTTTCAGACCTGTGTTGTATAGATGCTCATGTACTCATTGACACCCTGGTTTTGAGAACTTCTGTAATGAGTTCTGACTTCCTATCCAGTTTATGAGAATTTTAATTATTCAAACTTGTGTTATTTCATTGTTCACTTAAAAGTGTTAGAAATATTTTGAGTGTCGGCTTGCCTAGTACCACGTTAAGCACCATCACGACATGCTAAGTTTTGGGTCGTAATAAGTTGGTATAAGAGCCTAGGTTGCATAGGTCTCACGAATCATGAGCAGGTTTAGTAGAGTCTTGCGGATCGGTACGTAGACGTCTGTACTTATCTTCGAGAGGCTGCCGAACCCTTAGGAAACTTCACATTCTTATTTTTTTGTCGTGCAAATTTGTTGATTCCAAAAACTAAACTTTTATTGTTATTTTCTCTCACATATGGTGAGGACACGTGCTATCGAACAAGACGGCCACCCACCAGTACCACCAGTAAGGGCCACGAGAGGCCGAGGTCACGGTAGGGGAAGAGGTGTAGCTCGTAAAACAGCTAGAGCAGCACCTGCAGGTCCACCAATTGCTCCAGCTTAGGAGCAGGTTCCAGATATGGTGGAGCCAGTGGGGACAACTCAGGCACCAGCCATGCCCATTGTGATTCCAAGCCTTCAGGAGGCATTGACTCAGATTTTGACTGTGTGCACTAGCCTTGCTCAAGAAGTTTCTATTCTGGCCGCGTCAGCCACTTCTCAGGCCGGGGGAGGTACTCAGACTCCCACTTCCGGTACACCAGAGCAGGTGATGTAGGGACCTCAGACACCGGGGGTACCACCACCCAGCCGATTGCAGTTGATCAGCCCTAGGTGGGTCTCGTTATGACTGATGATGAGTAGAGAAGACTAGAGAGATTTGAGAGACTCCAGCTTCCAACATTCAGTGGGGCTGAGTCTGAGGATGCCTAGGACTGTTTGGACAGGTGCCAAGGGATTCTTCACACGATAGGTATTCTGGAGACCAGTAGGATCTCATTCACTACTTTTTAATTTACTATGGATGCCTTCAGATGGTGGGAGGCTTATGAGAGGCGCAGGCCAGTCGGTGTGGCACCACTTACATGGCGTGAGTTCTCCGTTCTCTTCTTGGAGAAGTTCGTGCCACAGTCTCGCAGGGAGGAACTGCGTAGACAGTTTGAGCAGCTACATCGGGATGGCATGTCTGTGACCCAGTATGAGATGTAGTTTTTCGAGTTGGCTCGTCACGCAGTTTGCTTAGTTCCCACAGATATGGAGAGGATTAGGAGGTTAATTAATGGCCTTACCTATCAGTTGCGGTTGCTCATGACTAGGGAGAGGGTATCTGGTGCTACTTTCTATGAGGTGGTCGATATTGCTCGGCAAATAGAGATGGTCTGTAGTCAGGAGCATGAGGAGAGGGAGGCTAAGAGGCCTCATGGTTCGAGTGGTCCTAGTAGTGTTCGTTCTGGGGGACAGTCTTACCACAACAGGGGTCGTCCTTACAGGCACGCTCAGATGACCCATCCAGTTCATCGTGGTGCATCATCCAGCCATGGTTCATACAGTTCTCATCAGAGTCAATCATCTCTCAGTGCCCTTCAAGCTCAGAGTTCGTCTTGTGCTCCATCAGTTCAGGGTTCATCTATGCCAGGCCCTTCTAGCAGTTACTCTAGTACTCGGGGCTCGATTCAGTCCCTACCACCACTTCCGGGGAGTTGGTTCGAGTGCGGGGAGTTTGGGCATATGTGGAGACAATATCCTTGTCGCCCGGAAGGTCCAGTGTAGCATAGGAATCAGGCTCCGACTTCAGCACCAATTACTTCACCACCCGCCCAGCCAGCTCGGGGCGGGGCCCAAGTAGCTAGAGGTCGACCTAGAGGGGGAGGCCGATCAGGTGGCGATCAGACCCAATTCTATGTTATTCTTGTCAGGCCAGATGTTGTTGTTTCAGATGCAGTGATCATTGGTATTGTCTCAGTATGCCTCATGGATGCTTCTTTATTATTAGACCCTGGTTCCACTTATTCGTATATATCATCGTATTTTGCTCATTATCTGGATATGCCCCCGTGAGTCCTTAGTCTCATCTGTCCATGTATCTACGCTAGTGGGCGATACTATTATTGTGGACCGTGTATATCGATCATGTGTAGTGACTATTAGGGGATTGGAGACTAGAATTGATATCTTATTGCTTAGTATGGTTGATTTCAACGTGATATTGGGTATGGATTAGTTGTCTCCATGTCATGCTATGTTGGATTGTCACGCTAAGAACGTGACATTGGCGATGCATGGGTTGCCAAGGATCGAGTGGAGATGTTCTTTAGATTATGTTCCCAGCAGGGTGATTTCATATTTGAAGGCCCAACGAATGGTTGGGAAGGGTTGTTTATCTTATTTGGCCTTTGTGAGGGATGTTGGTGCTAATACCCCTACTATTGATTCCGTTCCAATGGTGCGAGATTTCCCAGATGTGTTTCCTGCAAACCTGCCGGGCATGCCACCCAACAAGGATATTGACTTTGGTATTGAATTGGTGTCAAGCACTCAGCCTATTTCTATTTCTCCGTATCATATGGCACCAACTGAGTTGAAGGAATTGAAAGAACAACTTCAAGTACTTCTTAATAAGTGGTTTATTAGGCCTAGTGTGTCGCCTTGAGGTGCACCGATTTTGTTTGTGAAGAAGAAGGATGCAATTGTGCGGATATGCATCGACTATAGGCAATTGAACAAAGTTACAATCAAGAAGAAGTATCATTTGCCGCGCATTGACGATCTATTTGTCCAGCTTCAGGGAGCGAGCGTATTCTCTAAGATTGATTTGAGGTCTCTATATCACCAGTTGAAGATTCGGGACTCGGATATTCTAAAGACAGCATTCAGGACCCATTACGGTCATTATGAGTTCCTTGTGATGTCTTTTGGGCTGACCTACGCCCCAACAACATTCATGCATGTGATGAACTGTGTATTTCGGCCTTATCTTGACTCGTTTGTCATAGTATTCATTAATGATATCCTGGTGTACTCTCGTAGAAAGGAGGAGCATGCCTAGTATTTGAGGATTGTGTTACATCGATTAATGGAGGAGAAGCTTTATGCCAAGTTCTCCAAGTGTGAATTTTGGCTTAGTTCGGTGGCGTACTTAGGGCACGTGGTGTCGAGTGAGGGCATTCGGGTTGATCCAAAGAATATAGAGGCAGTTCAGAGTTGGCACAGGCCATCCTCAGCTACTGAGATTCGGAGATTTCTCAGCTTGCCCGGTTATTATAGTCACGTCATGGTGGGTTTCGCGTCTATTACATCGCCTTTGACCAAATTGACCCAGAAGGGTGTTCCTTTCAGGTGGTCGGATGAGTGTGAAGAGAGATTTCGGAAGCTCAAGACTGCCTTGACCCCAGCTCTGGTTCTAGTTCTACCTTCAGCTTTTGGTTCTTATATAGTGTATTTTAATGCTTCTCGAATTGGTATTGGGTGCGTATTGATGCAGTATGTAGAGTGATTGCTTATGCTTCGCGTCACTTGAAGCCCCATGAGAAGAACTACCTTGGTCGTGATTTGGAGTTTGCTACCATTGTTCATGCATTGAAGATTTGGAGGCATTATCTCTGTGGTGTGTCTTGTGAGGTATTTATGGATCATCGGATCCTCCAACAATTATTCAAACAAAAAGATCTAAATTTGAGGTAGCGGAGGTGGTTGGAGCTGCTAAAGGACTATGATATTACTATTCTGTATCATCTTGGGAAGGCCAATATGGTGGCCGATGCCTTGAGTAGAAAGGCGGTGAGTATGGGTAGCCTTGCATTCATTTGTGATGGTGAGAGACCACTTGCAGTATATGTTCAGGCCTTGGCCAACCAGTTTATGAGATTAGATATTTCGGAGCCTAGCCAAGTTCTAGCTTGTGTGGTTTCTCGGTCTTCCTTATATGATTGCATCAGAGAGTGCTAGTATGATGATCCCCATATGCTTGTCCTTAAGGACTCAGTTCAGCACCGTGATGCCAAGGATGTTACTATTGGGGATGATGGGGTGTTGAGGATGTGGGGTCGAATTTGTGTGCTAAATGTATATGGGCTACGTAAGTTGATTCTTGAGAAGGCCTAAAGTTCGCGGTATTCCATCATCTAGGTGTCGCGAAGATATACCAGGACTTGAGGTAGCATTATTGGTGGAGGAGAATAAAGAAGGATATAGTGGGGTTTGTAGCTCGGTGCCTTAACTGTCAGCAAGTAAAGTATGAGCATCAGAGACCAGGTGTATTTCTTCAAAGGCTAGAGATTCTAGATTTGAAATAGGAGCGAATCACCATGGATTTTGTAGTTGGGCTTCTACGGACTTCGAGGAAGTTTAATGCTATTTGAGTGATTGTGGATCGGCTGACCAAGTCCACGCACTTCATTTCAGTTGGGACTACTTATTCTTCGGGGCGGTTGGTTGAGATTTACATTCTCAAGATTGTTCGCCTTCACAGTGTGCCGGTGTCCATCATTTCATATTGGCGCACACAATTTACATCGTAGTTTTGGAGAGCTGTGTAGTGAGAGTCGGGGACCTAGGTTGAGTTGAGTACAACATTTCACCCTCAGACGGACGGACAGTCTGAGTGCACTATTTAGATATTGGAGGATATGCTACGCACTTGTGTCATATATTTCGGGGGTTCTTGGGATCAGTTTTTGCCGCTCACGGAGTTTTCCTACA